TAACAAGACAAAACGCAAACGGGTAAACGTCATGTTTAAACGCTACTGACTTGTAAAACTGACAGCAGACCTGTAAAACTGACAGCAGACCTGTAAAAATTTTACAAGTTAGTAATCTAGTAATTTCATTGGCCAGAATTAATGCGAAGTCTCTGTTACATGGATAACATGATATTTTAGACATTTTGGACCAAACAATTTAATATGTGACTAACTAAACGTAAAACATCTAACATCTAGGAACAAACAGTCATCTTAGTGTTTAAATATTCGCGCACGGAGTAGAAACAATGTTCAAGCTGTGCTTCTTAACATTCTTTTGTAGATTCGGGAAGAATATTGTAAAACTCTACACGTAGACTATTTTTTTTGATATCTCTAATCTGCAATATGGTGTCCTAATATTTTTTGCTCCACGGGTATTGTAAGAGTGAGCAAGGTCGTTTGTAACAAAATTAGCTTTATTTTTATGAATTTCCAATAGTGTCACGAAAATGAATATGGATGGTAATGGCATAATGCGCAATTGCTTAAAGTAGGGTTGACAGGGCGCACGATATTCAGCACCTACCATCATGCGAATTACTTTTTTTTGAAGAATAAAAACTTTATATGCTTTAGATGAATTACCCCACAACATAACACCATACTGCAGATGGGAGTGAAATAGTGCGAAGTAGCAGGATTTTAAAGTATCTGCACTGATTGATCGTTTAAGATTCCTTAGTACAAAGAGTGACTTTGACAATTTCTGTTTAACATGGTCGACATGACTGCTCCAACTCAACCTATCGTCTACATAAACTCCTAACACTTTAGCACATTTGCCCGTGACAAGCTTGCTGTTTGTTGAAAAGGTAATAATATGTGTTTTGTCTTTATTTAAGTTATTGTGAGCGAACCAAGTAGATGCTCGCTGTAATAAGTTCAGGCTTTTGGTGGTAAGAGTTGAAGCATCTTTGCCTGATACGATTAACGAAGTGTCATCCGCATAAGCAATGCAGTCATTGGGATGCACAAATTTAAAGAAATCGTTAATGTAAACAATAAAAAATAATGGTCCCAAGATAGAGCTAAGTGGAACTCCATGCTTCGTATAATTTAATTCAGATTTAGCGCCGTCGATTATAACACATTGTTTACGATTATTAAGGTAGGATGAAATCAAATCGCTGCTTTATGCCAAATAAACATCGTATTATACGTTTTTGTACAATAAAAAAATTAGCGGTCAGTGTAGATGATCCCCAGAAAAGAACACCGTAACATAACCTTGACCGAATCTCCGCATAATAGAAGGATCTGAAATATACACCAATACTGATACTACGGATTTGGAAGCAACAAAGCTTTTTTTTTCAAGCATAAGCAGTGGCACATCCAGTATCCAAGCACATTTCCAGGTATTTCCCTGATTGTTGCACTGGAACATTAGCAAGAAGGGATACATCGGTGGTGGAAGAAATAGAAGAAAATAAAATGCAGTACGTTTTACTATTGTTTAAATGAAGTTTGTTAAAATTAAACCACTCTTGAAGCGTCGATAGAATTCCACTTGCCCGTTGTTGTAGATCAAGAATAGTTTTACCGGAAACTATTGCACTAGTGTCATCCGCGTTCAAAATGAAAACAATATCGTTGATAAATAAAAGAAACAGGATTGGCCCTAAATTCGAGCCCTGTGGTACCCCAATCTTCATCGGCAAAAGCACGATGAGAACTTGGTGATCTTGGAATTGGATTTGCACTTTATTTCTCCATACTGAGATCTTCCCGATAAGTAGGATAGGAACCATACCGAGACTACACCCCGGATTCCATAAAACTCCAAATTTTTAAATCAAAGACGTAAGCATGTGATAGGTGATTATTTCTAAATTGTTAATATTACCAATTTTAGGTCAAGCACTAGCAAAAAGAATGTTTTAACCAGAAAGCCTGTTTGTTAAAACTACACGAGTGCTATTTTCATGAACTTGTAACCTATTTTAAAGTAGCTATCCAGACAAACAAAAACTTACGTATTTTTTAAGATAAAATCAGGTTGGATATCATAAATAAATTATTATTATTGGATGGTGGCACGAAATTTACAATTGCGTGATAACATTCAGTTTTCTTTTCAAATGTACTTCTCGTATTTTCAACACACGCTATCAGATGATAGTTGTAAAATGACACAACGTTTGCATACCACCCGCTATAAATTGCCCTTAGGTCCTTTGACATAAAAATAATTTTACCCCTTTTTTATGTTGCGGTTACGTTACATCATATTTTGAGTAAACTTACAGCGCAGCGTAAAATTCAAATCAGAGGAATGGCAATCACTTAAACGGCCGTGAAGGTAGATTTGCTTTGAGGTGCCCATTGTTAAACACATTACCTTTACAACCATACAAAGTTTAGTTGTATGTAACTACGAGTCTCCTTGATGTGTTTGTGTGGCCAAAATATCTGTCTTTATAGATTGTTAGAAAGCCTTAAATGTTAACAATGCAAAACATTCTCTCTTTCAAAGAGCACTAGCAATTCTATATTTGGACTTTATATTTGATACAAATTTAGATATTGGATTCGTCACCGTTCTATGACTACCTTTCTTTCTCAAGGATATTACTTCTAACATTTTTGGACGTTTTACAAAATAGCGGCGACGAATCGAAAATTACTTTATGATAATCCGAAAACCAACGGCAATTCTGGCCGGACCACAAAAATGTCAGAATTTCTCATAGTTGACGAACATTAATTTTGTATAATGATATACGTATCTCGTATGAACGAGATAATAATAGTAGCTGTTTGTAACATGTAATTCCAGCATATTTTTAAAAAGATTCCGTGTCAGTTTCATTGCAATATTGGTAAATTTTAAAATTAGAAAAAAAACTCCGACGGAAACCCAGGCTGTAGGTTCGGGAGTTGGGGGCTCTAGGTGATGAAAGTAAGGAAAGAATAAAGTTAGCATTTAAATTATTCAGTTGAATTACCTTTCTCTGTTTTGCGTTTATAATGACAGTATTCCGATATCAAAAATAGTGCTGGAATGAGTTTCATTCCAACACTATTTTTGGTAACTATTTTCCACAACTGACAGATTTTTAAGAACATTTAGTATTCAGTGGTTGGCATGCTCGTCTAAATCATCCAGGCTGATCATATACGCGAATGTTCAATTCAAAGTTCTGCCTGGATGATTTAGACGTTAATACTTATCTCAACGGTTTAGTAAAATGTGGACTAATTTCACTTATTGTTATAACATTATGTTACAGTTATTAACGATACGGGTAATTGAAATTCATTAGGTATTGAAAATTCAGTGTAGGTACTTAGAGATATCCACATTTAATATAAATGAGGTTTTATAACCTAACAAAATTACAAAACTAATCTTTGTCACTAAATGTACAATTATTATAAACTTTTAGAACAATAATTGTGGAATTATTGCCTGGTAGCAAATTATGAACAGTCTCTTCTGCTAACTGTCGAAGCTCTGGAGGAGTGGAAGGAAGAATTTCTTCGCACATTATTCACTTATTGAAAAAACTAAAATATACTGCACAAATTCGTATTTGACGCGCTTGTTAAATTGAATTTTTTCAAAATGTAGCGTAGCCAACTTAATTTCTTTATTGAAAAATTGTTGGTGTTGCCAACTTAATTTCTTTATTGAAATATTTATTACAGAAAATGTCAGAATTGTTAATTTTTTTAATACAATTAAAATGCTCAACAGAGAAAATAGTATAAGCATATGTTGCAGAAGGCCTTTCTAGCACTCATTCATTCGGACCTTCGCCTAAGGTTCGAAACTTGAACTCGTGCTAGAATATAGCGCCTTCTGCAACTTATACTTTAATATACTATTAATTTACCGTTTTCAATACCGTTTTTGGAATTTAGGGCGCCCTCATTTTAAAAGAAAATAAAGTGGTTTTGTTATACCCCAAGAACCCTAACGCACATTCTCCCAATCCCCACCAAAAGAATTCACAAAACAAGAAAACTAACACAAGCAGTAGAAGCTTATTAGCTAGGGCTGCTGGAATATGGCAAACGATGCGTTGTGTTATACCAATATCCAGGTCTACATCAGTGAAATTTCTCGCAATATCGTTGGCCTATATCATTTTAAAAGTAAGATCATATCCAACGTTCAAGAAACTAACGCTTAAATCCAACAATACAAAGACCGCATATCGTGAAGATCTTACAAGTGTTAAAAGAAGTGACATTTTTCTCTATTTCAATGGTATTTGATGATCGTTGAATCAAGTGAGTTTTGGTGAGTTAAATTTGCATAGCTGCATATATTTAAAATATAGGTGCATATTTAAGTGCATATTTTGACACTATTCTGCTTAAATAATTATTATTTAAACTTTACTACACATTAGTTTACTTAGTTCTGACTACATCCCCTTTAATGCACTTTTCAGAATGCTATTGTCCGCACTTTGTTCGTCTGTCCGTCTGCACCACTACTAGTTCTCCAGTTTAGGCTTTTTCGTTGTGATTTCTTTCTTATACGGTGTACATACAGCCCAGAGACCAGAACGACAAAAGTTTATTTGGATTAGTCACTTCCTTTCCGAGTTATTACTCATTCGTGCGGGCAAAATGCGCTTTCGTCGGTCGCGGGTGAGCACGATTTTACCTTATTATTATTACCTATTATTATTGTCACTTATAATTGCACAAGAGGTTTGTATTTTACCGAGTAAATTTGGGTTGTTTAAGTAATGAAAATCTGTTGCCTAGCAATTAGACGAGAAAAACTGTCAACTAATAAAAATGCGACACCGAACTCATTGGTTCGAAAATGAATAAGTGAAAAAACCACTAGTGCAATTGTCGCTGGATAAGTTGCAGATAACTTTTGCCGCTGTCAAAGTGACAATTGCACTGCGGCTTATGCGATTTTTTATACATGAGTTGAATTGGCATAAGAAAATATTAAAAAAATAAAAAAACTAATAAAAAATATTTACCTTGAAGATACTTCGCAATTTTACACGTAATTTCCCCGAAGTTCCATAACATTGTATATGCATCCCAAGCTGCAATTGGCATACAGACCATTGTTACCAATAAATCTGCCACCGACAGATTTACGAGGAAGTAGTTGGTTACACTGCAATAAAAGAAAAAATTACCTTTGGTGAAAGACATTAAACTTAATTTATTTACACATACACAACTGTACCTGTATTTAGTCATTGTTTATTTTGCATCTTGCTTCCAATTAGAATTAAGTAAGTTGAATTCATTCCATAAACGCAATACTTATCAACTTTGCATGTACTCTAGCAATCTCAGTAACGATTCTGCAATGATCGAGTTGTTTCGATTCAATATCTTGCAATGAAAAAGGTTAAACTAATTGCAATTTAAATTCACTTGACTGCGTGTTTCCTATTCCGATTCAAAGCCATGAATTGCAAAGCAGAGGTTCACCATTAGCATCTTAAGTGCATTTACATTTACTTGTCACAGATGGATCAAACGAATAAGATATTTGCCATGCCACCTTAAACTACTTAAAGAATTAAAGACTTCAGAGATAAGTTGGTAAGAAGTAATTTACTTTGAGGGCAAAAAGTCGTGTAACAATTTATATTACCACATCTTTGCAATTAAGCGAGTGGTAAGATTATTAGCTTTTTAATTCGCGTTGGGTTTTGCTGTTTATTGGTACCCAGACGGTTACGGTGCCCACATTATTGCTTTCCGTTCACTCCTTCCTCTTCCCTCGCCTTCATGTTGGGTGATGTGGAGGATTTTATTCATATTTCAGAATGAAATTTATTGCTTAATCTAATTAGTTTATCTTTTCTTTTTAAAAGCTTCTAATGAACACTTGATTACATTAATATCATTTATAAATTTTAATCTCATTCGCCTATAGAAATGATAAAAGATAAAAGTTGACGCTTCAACTAGGTAATAACGCGGATAGCTTCACAATAGGAGCAGAAAAATTGTATGCTGATTGTGGAATTTGAGATACAGGGGTCTTAATAATAAAATTTATTAGATCGATCGACCATATTAACACGTCATGTCATCCAAAAGGATCCGTTAGATATGTTGTGGTGTATCGTGCGTAATACAGAATGCATACACAGAATAATGGGAAAGTCGATGAAGTCGGTGTGTCTGACAGTCTGAAGTTTCATTTCCCGCTACAGGATTCAACCGATTAGAACCAAATTTGGTACACATATTCTTAGACATAAAAGGGCAGAATCGTACATGCACAGGTGTGCGGGTGCACGCTGACACAAATTTGCACGTGCGCGCAGAAATTCTTGTCAATGTGGACTATGCGCCGTACGAAAACGTACCCAAATAATTTGCGGTCGGTTGGAAGTCAACTTCAAAGAGATTTGCGCCACACAATAGTTCTAATGTGGACTTGTGAATGTGAAAGTGCACACGTGGATTCAGCAAATACAACACAATAAATAACGTGACCATATTCAAATTTGTGGCGCAAACATTTTTTCTAAAATTCAAAATTCAACAAACAACGCACATATTTATTAATGTGGACCCGCCTTTAACTACACAGAAAAGGCGATAAATCACATCTACCTGTCTATTAAATTAAGCTTTTCCATTTGATAACAGATAAAGACCCAAAAATTCCCGGAACTTTCTAAGTTTAAATAAAATTTAAACAAAAACAACCTTGAGCGCTTTCTCGTCTAACACAATAATCTCCAAGCCGTTGCATAGAACCAACGACAATTAATAAAATTTAAATAGGAAAATTAATAACATAAAAAGGAGACCGCCCTTGCCCATCTTGATTAGGATTTCCGAAAATTTCATCCTGCCGGACGGAATAAACACATCAATAATTTATTTTGAATTAAAATTCCAAAAACATAAACAATTGCTCATCTATTAAATGGAGCAGAATCTCTGGAGTACGGTACCTCGACTTAACCATCTGACTTCAGAATGGTCGGCTTCATGTAATATTACTAATCCAGTCGAGGTCCCCGGGGTCTACTGGATTGAGTTCAAGATATTCCGTTACACCCACTGGCAGAGTGATCCTTGCCATTGGACGATTCTTGTTTCCACAAGTTATTGTGCACGTAGTTATGCTCCTTTTTTAATCGAATCATTTGTATAGTGTTATGCGTAACATAAGGATTATCTAGTCTGTAATCGCGAACAATCCGTTTTGTTTGACAGTATATATTCAAGTTTGTATTGTAATAACTAATTTGTATACAGTATGACACTTTATATACTATACAATATTAATATGCGTATTGTACTGTATTGTATTGAATTGTACACTTTATTCGTGAAATTATACTACAAGTATTGTTTCAACGATATAATGGACACAAATTAAAAAACCTAATTTCTTAGACAAAAAGTACAATTAAAATGACAAAATAAATATACATTAGACAGTAAATTGTAACATCCTTAACAATAACTATTTTTCAAAAACTCCTGTAAATTATTATTTTAACGAGATTTTTTCAATCCTCACATGGGACTGTGATCTTATTTAAACGCAAAAAGTATGTAATTCAACAGCAGAGAAGACAATACAAAAACCATCGGCGCCAAAAATACATTTATCACACTGATTCAACTATTAATAATAAAAATTTATTCGTCATGCTATAATACCATCTGGTTTACGACACGTCAAGTTCTGCATACAAGCATAGTATAAAATATACGATATAAGATTACGACGCGATAGTATAATTTGACGATGTCATGAATTATGGTGATGAAGTAGATCAATCTATTTGGTAAGAATATGAGCTCTGGTGATTCGCAATTCGTGCAATTACGACTGGACTCATTTATGGATCTCAGAATAGACTATTATTATCTAGCAATGCACAAGCTGAAACTTCGTAGTCGGTAGTCGACCTACATCAAAAGGTATATTTGATTTCTGTCGATAAAGCGGATATGAACGATACATGGCAATCCTTCTTTATCGACCTACTTAAATACGCTTTGCAATTCTTATTTAAAGAATTTCTTTAATATAAACAGCAACAATATCCACTTCCATTCCAATCTACTACAGTGAAATACAAGTTAATAAAACTAAAAGTTACTAAGATGTTTGATACTGATTTGATGTATTCCTTGTTTTCATCAACGGTATTACATACACGTCCTATTTATCGGCATGCCAAAAGCAAACTCCCCGTATGTTGAATGCAAAACTTGTGTGATAGCATTCAATTTCAGTACCAGATTAAATTGGTTTGATTTATTATGTAGTAAAGTTCAGAAAATGTCGTTTCGGGTAAGCTAATGGAGAAAAAAACTCAAGTGGTATCAAAATTAAAATCATGCACTTGACACTAGTGTTGAGGAAGATTGAGAAATCCACTCTTGTTAATTGGTTTAATGAAATGAAATCAATTTGGAAAAAAACCAAAATCCTTGTCTATAAGAACAAAAATAGGAATTTCGGTATATCTCTAAGGAGCTACAGTTTCAATTAGAAACGTGTGACTTTGTTTCTTCTTTGGAGTTGCATAATGTCACGATCGTATATGTAACATGCCAATTGCCAATTGTTTTGAAGTTTGGAAGTGAGCAATTGTTTCACATCTGTTGCGAACCGCGTCGAGGTCGGCAAAGTACTTCTCAACTTGCACGCCAATTCCGACTTAATTTTAATATTACGCTGGCAACTGGTAGAATTTGTTATTACCTATTTAAGGCAGATTGTGAAGAAAATAGTATACAAACCTCGCTGGTCATTGTTGTTCATAGGTTCAACGCGAACCGAAGGACGTATCCATTGTCAAAAACGTCAATGTCTTAATTAATGGGTCTAGGACACTTCGCCGAATGCCCACAACGCCGACACGATTTTTTGAAGGTCCATATCGCCGACTAGGGACACTACGCCGACCGTGCCCACATCGTCGACAAGTGTGCAAGGGACACAACGCCGACCATGCCCAAGGTTAGTATATTACAGGTTGCCTCGTAACTGCAATAATGGGGATCCAGTCGTCTGCTAGTGACGTCACTGGTAGCCACTCAAATTTCGTTATCTTGTCATTGTGACATACGCGTAAGGTTATAAATACTGAACCTCCTAATACCTGTGCATTAAGAACCTAGAAATATTATTAAAAGGGTTCCGGAATTCTTTGACAAACGGAAAGCTGCCAGCTGCCAGTATGTGGACATTTCCTTTGGAAAAGGCTACAGAGCTTAAAAATGAAAATGATGTTTTAGGGAAAAATAAGACACCGGTCAAATTTTTTGACGGAACTCACATCTTATTTAGTGCTTGACGGCCGGCAGAAGATGAACGTGTTTAAAACTGACCGAAGCAGGAGAATCATATGGTCTCGTTGATATCGCCTATCTCATCTACAAATCCAAAAGTAAGTGTAGAAACGATATAAACTACGTTAAGAGAATTGGAAGAAAAATGTGACCACGCGATGGATTGTTAGATGAAGCTGTTTCACTCAACGCTGGTACATCAGACGAAGGCTGTATTATATAACGATTTATATTTACTAATTTTTAAAATATAAAACTGAGTATTTGTGTTTAAATAAATTAGTGCCATTTACTGCGAAATATCAGGGTAAATATTATTCCTTTTCTCTTTTTTGACCGTTTATAAACTTACACATATTTTCATTTTGACAATGAAATTATGCTTTAAAATAAATATGCAAAGCTCATGCACGCGGATCTGTGCATTAAACTTTAAAATTATGTCAGTGTTTAAATTATGCCACTTTCCTTCGCAATTAGGTAATGCTACAGATTACGTTAAAACTCCGTTTTTTTAGACATTTATGATTGCCATGAACTTACTTTGAATAACACTCGGCGTAATAGGGATACATTAACGTAAAGTGAAGCAGTTTTTGTTGTGGTAAAATTTATGAAGTTTACTATATTATATAATTTATATCCGCTTTTATAAGAGAGTATTAATTAAGGCTCATCTCTGTTGTACCCGAGCATTCGTTAAATTTTTACAGCAAAAGGAATGTACGCATTTTTAATAATAATGAGCCCACAGCTTTTTCTGTTCCCGATTCACTCGTAGTACCTTTGTTCCTGGTAAGCCAGTTTCCTGAAAACAATAACGTCGGACTTTAACGTCCACAGTACACCCGTACGTCAAACGATCACCACGATCGGCCACGGATCGGACGGACGGACGGACAAAAAAACAAAAT